GAACACCAACACCTCAGGAACACCAGCACCTCAGGAACACCAACACCGCAGGAACACCAACAGCCAGGGGCTCGGGAACACCAACACCTCAGGAAGATCAACACCCAGGGGCTCAGGAACACCAACACCTCAGGGAACACCAACACCTCAGGAACACCAACACCCAGAGCTCAGGAACACTGAGGAGATTTGGTTTTCTGTCTCAGCACAGAAAAAAGGAAAAGAACTTCAAGTGTTTTTAGAACTGAGGACAAACAATCTCCCTTTAGAACTGTTCCCAGAGGAGCAGAGGAGGGACTGTCCCTGTCCCTGCAGTGGGGCTGTTTCAGCAGTGCTGGGACTGTCCCTGTCCCTGCAGTGGGGCTGTTTCTCAGCCTGTAACCCTTTGCTGTTGGGGCCTGTGCTCTCCCTGCAGGAGAGGCCATGGAACAAGGCCTCCGGGACTGCTGCCGGTCCATCCGCATCGGGAAGATCCTGATCCAGAGCGACGAGGAGACCCAGCGAGCCAAGGTGTACTACGCCAAGTTCCCTCCAGACATCTACAGGAGGAAAGTGCTGCTGATGTACCCAATCCTGAGTGAGTGTCTGCCACCTCTAGGGACAGTCAGACTCCTCGGAACGGGGAGGGCCTGAATGAAAGGAAACCCTCCAAATTTCAGGGGCTTGGATGAGGTTTTCTGCTTGGTTTAGGTGACAGAGCAGGGAATTATCAGGCTGTGCCAGGACACACATTAGTCAGCTGCACCAGTGGGAATGCAAAGCAAATCCTTTGGCCATGGCAGTGTTTGGGAGAATGGTTGAAGATTAAGACTTGATATAAATTGAATTATATTCATTTTGCCATGAGACAAGACTCAAACAGTATTTTTCTCATGCTATTACAAACCATTTTTGGATTACTATTATAAAACTATATGTAAACTACTTTAAAATTAAACTAAGTTAATGCTAACAAAAAAAAAATTAATCTGGTGAGGAGTTTGTTGGGATGAGGTAACGTTTCCAGTCTAAAATTTCATTCTCTTGTACCCATGGAGCTTTTGATTTCCGTTTGACTATTTTAGATGAGCTTTCTTGCCTCAGGGTTTTAATAAAATCCACTAACTTCTATGTTTAAAACCTGGCAGAGTTGGCTTTTTCAGAATAGAGATGAAGCTCCTTCAATAGGAGACAAGTTTTCCACAACTGATACAAGCAGAGGTCAGAGTTTTCCAGGGAGAAAGGACAGAACATTCATTCAATCGCACATGGATATTCCTGGATGGCCAAGGACTAGTTTGCCAACCGGGGGGGGGAAATAAAATTTGTTACCAGGTACTGGTAACACTGTCGTTGAGGATGTCAAAGTGCCTGGAGAATATGATGTACAACAAGGTGTCATGATCCTGCTCAGCCTGTTCTCTACACTTATGGCACATTAAGACCTTTGGTGTCTCTCAAAAGGTACCAAATCCATCATCCAGGAATTCCCAGAATTCACCATTTTAACTACAGAAGTGCATCCTGTTGCACCAACACACTTTGGACAGAAGTATTTTGGAACAGACTGACAATCTCAGAACAACTGGATGTGACTCTATGACATTACAAGAGGTTTCTTCTACGTTTTATTAATGTTGAGTTGACAAGGGCATGTTTGGGAACCTTTCTGGCCAAAGGGGGAAATACTTGACTTAGGTGAGTTCTGGCCTGAACAGGGATCAGGTACAAAGCACTCTGCTTACACGGCCAAGCATCTCCATGTTGGGGTTGTTAAACTGCCACACTCTGCTTCAACTACTTAGTCTTCTATAGCCTGAATTTTGTGGGTGAAACAGCCCCTAAGTAAGTAAACATCATGAGAGAAATCCTTTGGGCCTTTTCCACAATGCAGGAACAGATCCATCCTACAGATCCCTCCAGGGAAAGTGGAAATGGATTTTACCCCGGAAAGAGCCGCTTGTGTGTTAAAACCCTGAATATTTTCTCTCTTTTGTTACCTGCAGCAGTGACCTGCAGCCTGAGGAATTTCTGTTTTCCAGTGCATTTACCCAGCATATCCCACAGAACTTCACACATCCTGCATTTATCACACTCCCTGTATGTAACTTTCTTTAGGAAGCTACAGAAAAACAAATTCAATTTAAAAAATAAACAGCAGCCCAGCTTTAACCCCAGGTAGTGTGGAGAAAATCAGAATTCCTGCCTTCACACTGCCCAGTTTGTTCTGGGCTGGAACAGCAGTGAAAATTGGCTTTATCTGCCTGCTTAGTTCCTGACTCTGCCACTACTTTGAGTATATAAGGATCTGAGCTTGGCAGGTCTTTTATTTTTAATTTTTTTTGCTTCAGGTTCAGAAGCTCCCAAGAGATTCAGATTTTCCTCACCTCACTGCATTTGGATTATTACTTATCTATATTGTGAATAAGTTATTTTAATATCTTTTTAGGAGAAAAAAAAAGCAAACCAGCATTTTTCTCATCTATCACTGCATTCTAATAAGCAGTTTTTAAAACCCTGAGGGATTTAAAGCAAATTTATTTACCCTCGTTGAAGGAAACGACATTAAACTTACCATGGAAAAGTGTTGTAATTCTCTTTTGCTATACATACAGTAGCAAATTGAAAACACTTAAGTAGGAATTACACCATGCTTTTGCTATAGATTTTGGATTTTTTCCCTATACTGCAAAGTTCTCTATGCAAATATATTTTCCCCTACAAGCTTTTTGAAATATGCTGCTATACCACACCTAATTTTGTCAAAGCTGTTAAGGAGATGTGGGTGCACAGGTCATTAATAGTTATTAATGTCAACTGGATACTGAAATCCACTAAGTGGTTTTGAAAAATCAGAACATATTCTGTACCTGTGAGGACATTTGGGAATAAATCCACCAAATCACACTAAGGGAGGGACTTTTCCTCAGCTGTCTGCCCTGGACTTCAGCTGCAAGTTTTTACCCCTCAGTAAGGTGAGAACCAGCAGGATCCAGCAGCCATCTCTGCACCTTGTGGGGTGTTCATCTCCCAGCAAACCGGGAAACCTCTGCCTGGAGAGTCTGAGCTCACCCACACGTGGAAAGAACAATGTTTTATTCCTCTGTTGCTTTGCCATTTGATGATTTTCAAGACTTCTGGTAAGATTAATCAATTATAGGTATTTTATGGAGGGGCAAAAAAATAGACAAGCAAAATGACTTAGCAGGTGTCATAAAACGCCAAGAGGCTGTTCCAGGAGCATAAATCATCATCTTATCCCTCTGCTCATAGAATATGCTCCACCTTCCATTGGCTCAACAATCGATAACAATCAATAAGGCAACTTTTTCCTATGACAAATATTTTGGTGCACTAATACTGCAAAATTACTTTGTGACATTAAATACTCTCTCCTTAATTTTTCTTCTTAAATTTTACTCACATTGAACAGTCAAACCAGAGCTGTTAGGTCATGGTTTGACTCTATAGTAAATCTTACTGTAATGATGCAAAGGACTAAACTGATTTAAACTTGCTCTCCCAACTCCAATTTGCTTTAAAAAACATAGCAGGTGAAGCTTCTGCAAGCAAGTTTTATGCTGGATTAGGTATCATGTCTCTGTCACTCCAACTTTATGCTGTATCAAGTATGACCTGTCCTGCAGCTGTAATAAACTCCCACACTTTAGGTACTGGTTATTTCAACAAAAATATAGTTGGGAACCCACATCTGCTCCAGATGAAACTGGGAGTGCTTCAGCTCTCCATTACTAATGATTTTGGAATCTTTCTTTGCCAGTCCCATGCTGTGGCAAGTAAAACTGGTGAGAAATATGCCCTTTACTCCCCCATCCTCTCTAGCACGGACACTGCAGCTGCCTTTGAGTTCTCGAGTCTGACAGGAGAAATTGAAACTGTGAATATATAAACCCACTTCATTTACATTAAAAGTTGGGCTTGTATCTTCCTGTGCAACAGTCAACAACTTTTAAATGCAACACATCCCTCAATTTGAGAGTAATCTCACTATTATAATGAACAGCCAAAAGGAGAAACAAAGGTGTCTTATGGGCTTCCTGAAACTGTGTAAATTCTCAGGAATATATTTTTTCCCTGTGTATGGGATATTGCTTGAAAATGAAGATAACTTCCTTGCAAGGCCTTTGCATGATAAGAGTTTTTAGGCATTAAAATGAGATCTCTCAAGACTCAGTGGGAATCCCTCTATGGGAGACAAGTCCACAGAGCCCTTACCTTTCCCTCTCCTTAAACCCCATTGGCTTCAAAACTCAGGCTGTAGTGTTTTCTCTCCTAACTATTTCTTTTCAGCCACAGGGTTTTTTTCCACTTTGTCTCACCGATTCCTGATTTCACTTCTCTGCCAGAATGCCACGAGGGAGATGGGCTGATCCTGCAGGGAACACACCTGCCCTTCATAGTTTCAGTGGTGAGAGGGGGAAAAACTGCAGACAAATTTAACCCTGCAGAACGTGGGAAGTCTGGCATGCAATTAATTATGGCTCATATCGGAAAACAGGAATATCCCAGCTTTTATATGGCGCACCAGCTGTCTGTGACACACAACACCAGGTGAGAGGGTAAATTCTGCCATGGGAACAGGGGGAGGAGAGTCAATGTCTGTGGGTAGAAGGGAGGAATGTCCATGGTTAGAGGAGGAAAGAATGTCAATGGTTAGAGGGGAAAAACATCCATGGTTAGAGGGGGAAGGAATGTCCATGGTTAGAGGAGAGGAATGTTCATGGTTAGAGGGGAGGCATGTCCGTAGTTGGAGGGGGAGGAGAGTGAATGTCTCCACTGACAGACACCAGCACTACCAATTTTCACCTGGTTTTTGGAACTGTTGTCCACCATCAGCCTTGAGCGGGGTCAGCTCTGTCCAGCACACACACACACCTGAGGAGACATGAAACCCCTCCCCCAATACAGGACGGTAGGGACACGGACCCTCCTGCTGCCCCTGCTGCCCTCCCCATTCCCGGGTGGCCATGGGTTGAGGAGGTGCCCTGGGCTGAGCGGGCGTGCCGTGGGTTCAGGAAGTCCGTGGGCTGAGGGGTGACTGGTGGCTCAGGGGGTCCGGGGGCTCAGGGATGGCCGTACCAGCCCCCCCTTCCCATGTCGCATCCCCCTTCTTTGCCCCCTCTAAAATGGCGGCCACCCCTGTGGGCCAGGGCCGCGCGCGGGGCGGGGCGGGGCGGGGCCGCCCCCCGAGCCGCGCCTGCGCGGGCGCGCTCCCGCACTTCCGCGTGTGGGCGGTGCTTCCGGCGCCGTTCCTTGGTAACAATGGGGCAGGAAATGGCGGCCTGAGCAGGCTGGGCCGGGCAGGGGCGGGCGGGCACCGGGGCAGCGCGGCGGCACCGGCGGCAGCGGCACCGCGCCCGGGCGGCGCGGGCAGCGGCGCACTCACAGCGGAGGGCGCGGCGGCGGGCGGTGAGCACCGGGCGGTGAGCGCCGGGGGCGGGCTCTCAAAATGGCCCGGGGAGGGAGAGGCCCGGCCCGGGGAAGGCGGCGGGAGCGGCCCCGGGCACGGAGCGGAGGCGGCCGAAG